GCAGGTTTCTGTGGAAGACCGTGACTTGGCGCCACGTGAGCGGCTGGGGAAGGAAAACCCGCACCGCCCACTTCATTCAGAGACACTCAGACTCGCTCCCACGTGTCGGCGATAAACAGACTTTCCTCAGCTCCACTCTGACCTGCACAGAGGTGACGGGTGTTTTAAAGGGTGCGCAACGGAGGGGGACAGCGGGGCTCAGGAGTCCACTGAATGACAGTTTGAAAAGGGCCGGTGAGCATCAGTGCGCTTGGGCCGGGTGTCAGCCAGCTGGACGGATGGAAGCCAGGCTCCCAGGCTCCCACGGGAGAGGAGGCAGAGGCCCCGCCCTCCTGACCCTGCATTGTAATGGATAAGGACAGCAGGCGTGATGATAGGAACAGTGTGAGACAGCTTAACCCAACCCCCAGCCGTGACAGGATGCTGCTGATCTATAATCAGTGTAGCTCTCGCTGCTGCACAGTGCAAACTCACATCCTGGAACAATAAGTTTTCAGAGTCTTGAACTGAAACCAAGACATAGATGTTTGCAGTGGGAATGAAAGGGTTAAAGAGAATACAAGGGGGCAGAGAAAGACTTGTTGTGCTTTAGCAGACACCTCGCAGAAAGCTTGCAGCCTTGAGCACAGCATAGCTCAGATAACCAGGAGACACCTGGCATGGGAGGAGCCAAGGACGCACCAGACCCCCACGTCAGCAGAGCGGCTGCAGCCACCAAGGATCAATAGAAACCTGTCTCTCCCTGCTCTCTTGTTCGATTCCTTTCTCGGTCTCAGCCCACCTGCACCCAGGTGTCCGGCATCAAATCTCTTTTGATACATTATGGCCTCATGTCATAGGTGTGCGACCCTGGCCCACTCTGAACCTGTCATGTGTCAGCTAGAAGATTTCTTATAACCTACTTTGCAGCAAAATAGGTTTTAGAAAAAGGCACACAGAGACCCGGAAGCAAGAAACAGTACCTAGGGATACATATATCTGGGTTCAGCAGAATAGGTTTTGCTCAGCTTTTGGGAAACTGATTCCCCTGAGCCAGCAGCCCTGCATTTGGGATAAAGGGGCATTTCTGCATCTCCTGAGAGCTTGGTGGCCTGTTTCCCGTCTTTGGTTACTTTGCCGTAAGAGCATCTCTCTATATATACATTTTGTTAAGAATAGTTTATTGATTTTGAGAGAGAGAGAGAGAGGAAGGGAGAGGGAGAGAGAGAAGCATCCATGTGAGATCACATCCATGGGCTGCCTCCTGCTCACACCCCTGCGGGGTCAAGCCCGCAACCTGGGTGTGTGCCTGGCCAGGAACTGAACTGTCAACCTCCTGGTGCGCAGGGTGATGCCCGACTAACAGAGCCACACGGCCAGGGCGGATGAGGACATTTTAAAGGATGGCACCCAGGTCCATGAGAGGGACACTCCTGAGCTGTAGGCCACACATGCCCGTCCGGGGCAGAGGGGTTCCCAGTGGCAGCCCCTGTCAGTAAGCGCTCCGAGAGGCACTCAGGGCCCGGCTCAGAGGTTGGTTGGACAGTCCCTTCTCCTGGCAGCCTTCCGCTTCTCCCGCAGGCATTTCAGAGGGCTGGGCTGTCCTAGGGGCGCCCACTCGCTTACGGAGGGAGAAGGAAGGAGTCTCTGTAGACAGACAGTCAGGGAGCAGGAAGGAGTAAGAGGGAGACAGACAGGAGAGGCCGAGTTCCCGGCCGTGAAGGAGCTCAGAAGAGAGGCGCCAGGGACCAGCTGCTCAGGAGAAGAGACCTCCCACCAGGCCCTCGGAAGCACAGCAGACGGCCAACCACCCCTGAAACGCTGGGGTCTCCCAGATTGGCCCTCGGGGGTTCCAGCACAGATGCCTGATGGGCAGCCCCGACCTCAGGCTGCCACGCCTCCCACCTCAGCTCAAAGGAGGGAGACCCCACAGCAGGGTCCCCGCGGGCACCAGGGGGCAGTTCCCAGTGGGTTCCCTGCCCCTCCCCTTTCACCACAGCCCTTCTCCCCCTCACAGAAGAGGAGCTTCGTCCTCACCGACCAGGATCTACAGCCTTGGACGAGGCGTAAGGTTCCAGCGAGGATGGGGCACCCACTGCTTCCAGTCAGACCGGCCGTGGGAAGAACCAGGAGACCACATCCCCCCTGGGAGGCTCCCTCCACCTCTGTTACTTTAGATGGGAATTCCCACCCGAGACAGTTGCCATGGAAATGTGCTGTAATGTATTCATTTGAGTTGGAAGGAGGGGGACGCCAGCTTTTTTCCTAAAAGAAGTGAAGTCTGGCCCTAGCCGGTTTGGCCTCAGTGGATACAGTGGATAGAACGGTTCCAGGTTCGATTAAGGTCAAGGGCACGTACCTCAGTTGCAGGCTCATCCCCGGCCCTGGACGGGGCTCAGGTGGGAGGCAACCAATCGATGTGTCTCCCTCACATCAATGTTTCTCTCTGTGTGTCTCTCCCCTCCCTTCCACTCTCTAAAAATCAATGGAAAAATATCCTCGGAAGAGGATTAACAATAAATAAATGTAAATAAATGAATGAAATTAGGTCTGCTTTGGCTGACTGGTTGGCAGTAATGCCTGCTCTGACTATTTACATGACATGCAGACATTTTCCATTAACTGCATGAGCTAACTGTGCAACGCCAAGGACGTGAAGAAAATAGACACATATGTACCACGTACCAAAAATGCCATCCTCTGAACTCTTTAGTATCTATAAACTTTTTAAATGTTTGATGTCAGCTAAGAATGTGTGAGGGGTATGTGGATTTTCAGATTATCTGAGACCAGGAGTCAGCAAACTATGGCACAGGGGCCCAAGCCAGCCCACTGCCAGGCCTGACCACATGACTGAGTCGATACCTCCTCCCCTGGGCACTGACCTTTAGGCCACTTCACAACCGACATTCCCTTTTGCTTAGACCACATTCCACTGGCTAAGACCATTATCCTCCCCTCAGGACCCGCCTAGAGAATTCTCCGCCCAGGAAAAGACTGCTTGGAGTCCTTTAAAACCTCTGACCTCCTGATCCCTGGGTGCGGGCCCCATTTTGGGGCTCAGCCCATCTGGTCTCCAGGTGACCTAATAAACTCATAATTCTTTACCCCTTTTGGCCTCATGCGTTCCTCCTTTGGCGATTCTAACACCCACCACTGTTTTCATAAAAAGCTTTTTTAGGAATGGCCTAACCCATTCCATTAGGGATGGTCCACGACTGTGTTTCTGCACAAAGCTGCAGAGTCAAGTGGACAGACAGAGACCACGTGGGCCAGAGCCCGAAAGGTATACCCCCCAGGCCCTACCCAGAAAACGTCTGTCTGGCTCTTCGTCCTCCTGGCTCCCACATTTCCTCCTCCCTCGGCCTGTAGTCCTTGTCACCCCTACTCCCTGGTCATCTCCAGCTCATTTTCACCTCTTCTGTGATGCCTCCTGGATCAGGCACCTGGGTTCAAAGCCCACCTGTGCACATGGCTGCCAGGTGCTAGAGACTCAATGCCTAGTGGTGGAATGAGTTTGGGTGAGCGAGTAAAGCACCGTGACCCTCAGTTTCCCCATCTGTAAAGTGGGGATAAAACAACCCTCCTCTGGAGCTATGGGAGGGGCCAAGGGTGACTGTCATGGCTGCAACATCACCCCCTAACCTCACTGGTCTGCACAGCGACTGGCACATCTCCCCACTCTCGTCCCTACCCCGACTGTCACTCCCTCGAGGGCAGGGATTCTGTCCCTGCTATTTTGTCTCATTCATGCCTCCGCCTCCACCCCGGCCGCCCACACGGATGCCCAGCCACTGTCAGTGGAGGGAATGGTCTGGTTCCTGGGGACAGGGACACGGGCTGAGGACTCACCTGGTCGCTGCAGGAGACTCCGTAGCGTAGCTCATTCACGAAGTGCTCACAGTTGTCGCTGGTCAGTTTGTAGCATACCTTCTGCCCCAGCAGCTCCTGTGCCCGCCACACAATTTCGCTGGGATCCAGCGGTTTGTGTTCCCGGTCATGCTTGTTATTGACACGGTGCTTGTCTTTCCCGGCCACGTCAGACAGCCGCTCCTTCTTCACTATGGCCATCCCGGACCCGGAGGACATGAGGTTGGCTGACGCAGCTCCCGTGATGTCACCTGTGGTTCCCAAAGAGGAAAGAGGCCGATGGTCGGGGCTCAGAGCGGGCAAGCAGGCAGCCCCACTGCCCTGGGCTTCATCAGTGAGGATGAGCTGGGGAAAGGCCGGCCCCTGCCTGGCTTCAAACTCAAACACAGGCCGACCCCCGCCTGGGTGCCCTTGGAGAAGTCACAGATGCCCCTGGACTCTGGCTCCTCATTTCTAAAGCCAAGGATGTGGATTCTTCTAAAGGCCCCTGTGGGC